CCTCCGCCCGCCACTGCCGCCCCCTGCCGGCCCCGCGCCGCCACTGCCGCGCCCGCCGCCGCCGCCGCCTCCGGTCGCTGTCCCCGATCCCGGTGGCTGTCCCCGATCCCGGTGGCTGTCCCCGATCCCGGTGGCTGTCCCCGCCGCTCGCACCGGCCCCGGTCGCTGTTACGGCCCCGCCGCCCCCTTTGGTGCTCTCCCGTTCCCGCACTGCCGCTCCCGCCGCCCCGCTGCCGCCCCCTGGCGGTGCCGCTCCCGCACTGCCGCCTCCGCCGCTCCCGCCCGGTCTTGCCGGTGCCGGGCGCTGTTCCCGCTCCCGCCCGGTGTTACCGGCGCCGGTCGATGTTCCCGCTCCCGCACCGCCACCCCCGATCGTTGTTCACGACACCGATCGCTGTTCCCGGCCCCGCCGCCCCCGTTGTACCGCCCGCCGCGCCCGCCACCGCCTCCTGCTGGTCCCGCTGCCGCCGTTCCCGCCGACCCCGCTGTCCCCCGGGCGCTGTTCCCGGCCCCGGGCGCTGTTCCCGGCCCCGAGCTCCCGCTCCACCGCCCGTTGTTGTCCCGCTGCCCCCGGGCGCCGTTCCCGGTCCCGCCGCCCGCAAGTGCGGCAAGAGAGGCACGACAGTGAGAAATGGGTTCAAATCGCAGGAGATTGGGTTTAGACGGGGTATTGGGAGGGAATTCCTCCTTGAGAGGGTGAGGAATGGATTCCCCAGAGCTGCCCCATCCCTTGGAGGTGTTCCAGGCCGGCTTGGACGGGGCTTGGAGCAGCCTGGGGTAGGGGAAGGCGGGGGTGGAAAGGGATTAGCCCCGGAGGGAGCACCGGAACGGCACCGGGCACCGAGCACCGGGCACCGAGCACCGAGCACCGAGCACCGAGCACCGGGCCTTGAGCGCCAGGAAGAGAGCAGAGCGCCGGGCACCGGGCACCGCCCCCAGTCCCAGCTCTTTTAGGGGTGGGGACCCCCTCGCTCGAGTACTGGCTCTTTTTGGGGGGGCAGCAGCAGGGACCCCTCTCTGACCCTGGATCTTTTAAGGGCAGAAGTGGGGACCCCATTCTGGCGTCTGCTTTTTTAGGGGTGGGGACCCCCCCAGTCCCAGCTCTTTTAGGGGTGGGGACCCCCCCCCAGTCCCAGCTCTTTTAGAGGTGGGGACCCCCCATTCCCAGCTCCTGTTGGGGTGGGAGAAGTGGGGACCCCCCTCTACTCTCTGACCTTTTTTAAGGGCTTAAGTGGGAACCCCACTCTGGCCTCTGCTCTTTTAAGGGTGTTAATAAGGGGGACAAGTTCATCCTTTTTGGGGAGCACATCTGGGGGGCTTCAGGGCAGGGGGACCCCCCAGGACCCTCAGCCACCCCCGTTCCCTCCCAGGAGTGACATTTATTGATCCCCCCAGCATGGGGAGAACAGCCCCAAACCCACCCATTTTCACCCCAAGACTGAGCCCCCCAACATGGGGAGGGTTTTGGGGTGCAGAAGGAGACCCCCAGAGCGAGGATAAAGCAACCAGAATTCTGTTTATTGATCACTTCAATCCCTGCCTCCCGCCGGATCTGCCGGGACCGACACCGGAGGAGAAACAATGGTAAAAAAAAAAAAAAAAAACCAAAATAAATGCAAATAAATTAAATTCCCAACGAGTCCCACGGACTCAGGCCAGAGGTGCCTGCCCAGGGTACCTGGAAAATCAAATAAAAAGGGGGAGTAAAAATAAGAAAAGGTCAAAAAAAAAATTAAAGTACAAAAAAAAAAAAAAAAAAAAAAAAAAAACCAACAGAACCACAATCACGAGTGTCTGGAAAAATAACACCAAGGGTGGAGAAAGCAGAGCCAAACACGGATTGGGAGGAGGTGGGAGATGCTCCCGGGGCCAGGGAACGGGGCATGCACAAAGTGAGGGGCACAGGAGGGTCCCCAAGGCAAGGACCCCTCACTCCAGGGTTGGTGACACTTGGGGACACCAGGCCAGGTGGAAATTGAGGAGGGGGCGAGGAGATGGAGCTTGCTGGGCAGCAGGGCTGGGATTTGGGGGACCCCCGAGGGGTCTGGCAGTGCGTGGAGCCCCCACTCCCCCTCTCCTTGAAACGGCCGAGCTGGGTTCCTAACGGGTCCAATCAAGGGGGGAACCCCAAAAATCCGAGTCCAGGAAACCCCCATTGTCCTGAGGTGGATTTTTTTCAGAACCCCAAAAATCCGAGTCCAGGAACCCCCATTGTCCTCAGGTGGATTTTTTTCAGAACCCCAAAAATCCGAGTCCAGGAACCCCCATTGTCCTCAGGTGGATTTTTTTCAGAACCCCAAAAATCCGAGTCCAGGAACCCCCATTGTCCTCAGGTGGATTTTTTTCAGAACCCCAAAAATCCGAGTCCAGGAACCCCCATTGTCCTCAGGTGGATTTTTTTCAGAACCCCAAAAATCCGAGTCCAGGAACCCCCATTGTCCTCAGGTGGATTTTTTTCAGAACCCCAAAAATCCGAGTCCAGGAACCCCCATTGTCCTCAGGTGGATTTTTTTCAGAACCCCAAAAATCCGAGTCCAGGAACCCCCATTGTCCTCAGGTGGATTTTTTTCAGAACCCCAAAAATCCGAGTCCAGGAACCCCCATTGTCCTCAGGTGGATTTTTTTCAGATGACGAGCCCCGGCTCCAGCACCATGTCCTCGCCCATGTGCTGGTTCTCGCAGGCCATCACCACCACGGCCTGCTTGCCGGGGATGCGTTTGGCCACGTAGTTCTCGTAGTAGCGCCGGTTCATCTGGCGCGTCTCCAGCGTGGCCAGCCCCTGCGGCCAGTTGCGCTCGTGGGCGTTCTCGATCAGCTCGTTGGTGATGGACGCCGGGCAGCCGCTCTCCACCAGCGAGCGCTTGATGACGGCCTGCAGCACCGCGTCCGGCGTGGAGATCATGCCGCCCCAGCGCGTCACCCGCGCCGGCTGCAGGGAGTTCACCCACCTGGGGGGACGCGCGGCGGTCAGGGATGGGGGTCTGGGGTGGATTTGTGGGGGTTCAGTCAGCTTAGGGGGCATAATGGGGTCAGAAATGGGGGTTTGGGGTGGCATTGTGGGGGTTCACTCACCTTAGAAGGCAAAATGGGGTCAGGGATGGGGTGGGATTGTGGGGGTTCAGTCACCATAGGGGGCATAATGGGGTCAGGGATGGGGATTTGCGGTGGGATTGTGGGGGTTCACCCACTTTAGGGGGCATAATGGGGTCAGGGATGGGGTGGGATCGTGGAATTCTGGAGATTCACCCAGCTGGGGGGACACAGTGTGCACAGGGGTGAAGGTTTGGGGTGGGATTGTGGGGGTTCACCCACCTTAGGGGGCAGAATGGGGTCGGGGAGGGGGATTTGGGGGGGGATTTTCCCTCAAAAATCAATGTATTTCCGTCAAAAATGCATTAAATTCCCTCAAAAATCAATGGATTTCCCTCAAAAAATAACAAATTTCCCTCAAAAATCAATGTATTTCCGTCAAAAATGCATTAAATTCCCTCAAAAATCAATGGATTTCCCTCAAAAAATAACAAATTTCCCTCAAAAATCAATGTATACACCGGACACCGAGCACCGGGCGGGGCGGGGCCAGGAGCGGCGGCGGGGCCGGGTCTATGCGGAGCGCGGCGGACGGAGGCGCGAGAGTCACGGTGGCCGAGTGGTTAAGGCGTTGGACTCGAAATCCAATGGGGTTTCCCCGCACAGGTTCGAATCCTGTCCGTGACGCGAAGCTCCCTTTTGCTTGTGGGGGACACACACCGGAGCTCCTCCGGTAACGGAGAGCACACTTGGTACCGGCTCTTTTAACGAAGGGAGCATCACAGATCCCCCAAGCCCCGGTACCGACTCTTTTAACGGCGGGAACAGTGGGGAACACACACCCTCAGTCTCCGGTACCGGCTCCTTTAACGGAGGGAACACCGGGGAACACACACCCTCCGGTACCGGCTCCTTTAACGGCGGGAATAACGGGGACCCCCACCCCCCCACAGGTCCTGGCTCTTCTACCGGGGGTAACCACAGGGATCCTCGCTCGGTTACCGGCTCTTAACGGCGGCAACAGCGGGAAAAACACGTGATCTCCCTCCGGTAACGGCTCCTTTAACGGCGGGAGGATCGGAGAGTCCCCAAGCCCCGGTACCGGCTCTTTAAGGGTGGGAACAAAGGGGAACCCCCCTAATCCCGGCTCTTTTTGGGGTGGGAGCAGCAGGGACCCCCCTTCCCCAGTCCCAGTCCCAATCCCAGCTCTTTTAGGGGTGGGGACCCCCTCGCTCGAGTACTGGCTCTTTTTGGGGTGGCAGCAGCAGGGACCCCTCTCTGACTCTGGATCTTTTAAGGGCAGAAGTGGGGACCCCAGTCTGGCCTCTGCTCTTTTTGGGGTGGGGACCCCCCCAGTCCCAGCTCTTTTTGGGGTGGGGACCCCCCCAGTCCCAGCTCTTTTTGGGGTGGGGACCCCCCCAGTCCCAGCTCTTTTTGGGGTGGGGACCCCCCCAGTCCCAGCTCTTTTTGGGGTGGGGACCCCCCCACCCCATTGTCCTGAGGTGGATTTTTTTGGGTCTCCACTCCATGAGCAAAAATCGCAACCCCAAAAACCCAAGTCCAGGAAACCCCCGCCATCCTGAGGTGGTGGAACCGTTGATTTTTCTCAGATCTCCTCCACGCCATGAGCAAAAAACCCAAGTCCAGGAAAATCCTGCCATCCTAAGGTGGATTTTTTTTGGATCTCCACGCCATGAGTGAAAATCACAACCCCAAAAATCCAACTCCAGGAAACCTCCACTGTCCTGAGGTGGATTTTTTCAGATCTCCTCCACTCTGTGAGCGAAAATCACAAACTCTAGAAGTCCAGGAACCCCTGCCACCCCGAGCTGGATTTTTTTCAGATCTCCACGCCATGAGCCAAAACCACAACCCCAAAACTCCAATTGCCCTGCCATCCCAAGGTGGATTTTTTTTGGATCTCCTCCATGCCATGAGGGAAAAACCCAAGTCCAGGAAACCCCTGCCATCCCAAGGTGGACTTTTTTTGGATATCCTCCATGACATGAGTGAAAATCACAAACCCTAAAAGTCCAGGAAACCCCTCCCATCCCAAGGTGGATTTTTCTAGGGTTTGGGGTGGAATTATGGAATTGCTGAGCTCAGAAAACAGCTCCAAGACCACTGAGCTCCACCTGAGACCAATCCCCCCCAGGGCACAAAAGAACTGCAAATTCCCCCCAAAATCCATGCACTCCTCTTCAAAAAACAAATTTCCCTCAAAAAATGACAAATTTTCCTCAAAAAATTACAAATTCCCCCCCAAAACCTACAAATTTCCCTCAAAAACTGATGAATTTCCCTCAAAAAT